ACTGTTGTCATCACAGCTCTTTGTTTCTGTCTCAGCCACTAAGCAAAACACCCGTTTAACATTCAGAATTCTATAAATACTTGTGTTTTCAAAACCTCTTTCTTTCCAGAGGAGGAACGCCCAGAGACATATTTTAATTTTATAGAAGTTACTTTGTTGCTGATTAAACTTTAGTAACGATTAAGAGTCAGTATAGCATCAGTTCAAGTTGATTGTATAGAAAAAACAGGAAAATGGTTCAAGAACAACACACAGACACAGACTCTTTCATTAGCTTTCAAAAAAATGTAACTTTAGCTTCCGCTTTTATAGGGCTGGATCAGTACAATAGCATGTGTAGAAGATCTGTGTGCTTTAGTCTTTATCCTATGTAGATTAATGAACCCACAGTGGGGAAATTCACTTGTTACAGCAGCACCAACACTTAAGAGAATAATTTAAAGAAAAATAGTAACCAAGGTACATATATATACACATTAGGCAGTAATCTAGTATTGTAACTTTTGACCACTAAAAACTTGGAATAAAAATTAAACTTGGGTTCCAGAACTATGAAGCATACCGTAAGAGACACAGGCACACTAACAAGTGGGAGGTACGTATATAAACTGTTGTAATTCCTACACCGTTCACCTGATTTGGATGTAAATACCCTCAAATAAAAGCTGACAGTCTGCTGTTAAAGCACATCTTGTTCGTTTCATTTGATATCCATTGTGGTGGTGTATAGAGCCAAAAATGTTAGCACTGTGTCGATGTCCCAATATTTATGGACCTGACTGTATCACGATACACGGGAGACAATACAGAGTACCATGATATATCGCGATACATTCAATCAGACGTTATTAGCAATTTTTTAGACTGAATTTATGGTAGGGAAATTCAGTAAACAGTCCAAACAGATACTTAACATGTTTAACTTGAGGTATCTGAACCATAATAGAGGAATTTACATTTCAGTGGTGGAAACAAAACCCATTGTACACTGCTGCCAACTAGCGGTCAACGTTTGAATTGCACTAAACAAAAAGAAAATACACAAATGTTTGCATGTAAAGTCTTCCAAAAATTAGATACATGGCTTTTGAATATTGATATAATATTGCTGGAAAAAATATCACAATATATTGCCATATTGATATTTTCTTACATCCCCATTCCCCAGTATCTTTCCCAGAGTATATCTTTACAAAATGATTTAAAGTAACTTGAAAAGGCTTTATGTTGACTCTCTGACGCAAAGTTACTGATTCCTCGATCACGTTCTAATTATTAAAGAAAATTTAGTTGATTCAGCTCTTTCTGAAAGAAGCTTTTGCCATTTACATTTCATAATCTCCTCCTCTCCTCAGTGACATCATGCTACAGACCACAGCTTTAACCCTCCCACTGTCCTAATGGGTGTGACCCCACGAGGAAAGTAGACCATTGAGCAGGGGTGATGGTTTATCCCTTGAGGTCCATATGGCAGGGGTGAGGTGGTGCTCACTCCTCACCCCTGCCACGTGGACCCAAGGGATAAACCATCAATCCTGCTCAATGGTCAACTTTCCTCGCAGGGTCACTCATAAAGACAGTGGGAGGGTCAAGGAGTAGGACTCATAATCCTGTTGTTTTCACCGACCTACTCCATTAAACGTTCACCCCATGAAACAGGAGTGAAAGAGCTTTTTTTTCTACTGAAAACAACTTGCATGGTATCCAGTCATTCTAGTGACAACAACTTTAGGGAACTAGACCTTTAAACCCCTTTCAAAACCTCATGATGACACCTCTATCCTCTCCACCACCTTTCAGACTCAGCAAATCTCAAATTCTTCCTGTGACATCAGCTATGATGTTTTGCCAGCACACCCCTGTGACTACCTCAGATTGAGTCCTGATATATTCTGACCACATCATGATGTTGCAATGAGGTCAAAGCCTAGGGATGAAGCCAGTCCTGCTTCAAATCATCAGTGACGAAGAAATCATTGATATTTTTTGTCCACTATGACCTTGCTCAAACCCATAGTTGACATGTAACACTCCGTCATGCATGGAGCTTGTGCTGCAACAGTCTGAGTGATTCAAGTCACTCGATTACAAAAAGTCCCTGAGGCACACTGTTCAGTGATCGTGTGTTACAAGGGGACAGTTGTTAGCTATTTAGACCACATCAGTGTTGGTAACTTTATGAAAGTGATAAATGTGTTTTGGATTAAAATGGTAGGTGGGCCCAATCGGTCCTTAAAATGAGACCAGTTGCATCAGTGACGTGCGGTGAGGTTCATGACTGGGGAGGCACTGTCTGCTCTGGAGTCAGACTTACAAATATATGGTCCTGAAATAAAAGCTTATATCGTATTTTTGACCTTGAATAATATATTTTCTAATTTTAAATAATTTTTATTATAATTTAATCAATGTCATGCTATTCAACAAAATACTAGCAAGAAAAGCAAAATAATATTTAATATTGGGGCACATTTGACTTAAAATGTATTCATTATTCGTGTTTATGAAGTCCATACGCCTGACATGTCCATGAGCACTCAGCTGTAAAAATCACCCTCTATTATCTCCTAATCTGACTGAAAATCCAGTTTAAATGAATCCTTCAGTTTTGAGCCGTAAATCTTGCATTTAGTCAGAGTAAATTCAAACTACCCTTACAGACCTGTTGGCTCCATACCCACGCCCTGTGTGCACGAGCAGTCAGTTTGCGCTGTCTATGGGGCTCAGCACTGCCCCTATCAGTGAGGCAGGGTACTGCCTGCCTCCCCAGTGCTTTTTTACTGCGTGTTTATAGCTGCCCAAAAAGACAAAATTTATCACACACATTCATTACTTTATATTAGTTTGTAGAACACCATCTTGTGCAGCACATGTGAAATACTTGTATGCCAGAGATATAAAGACAGACAGCAATGAATGAGCTTGTGCCCACTTCCTGTTTTAGTCACTGTGTGTAGAGGAGGTAGCTCTTCTCTCTGCCTCCAGAGGGCGCAACGCTGCACACACTTCCTACAGGGAGTTGGCGCATGCGCTCTGACTGAATCAGTTAGTGTGTGTGGGGTAGGGCTGCACAATATATCGAAAAATTATCTTCATCGCGATAACAGGACGTGCGATAGGCTCATCGCAGAGCACGTCAAAAACGGCGATACATGTTTGGTTCAAGCATTTCCATCCGTGTCATACTTCAACTTTTTGTAAACCAGCTCTGTTTTTTATGCGGAAGTATTATTTGACCAATCTAATGTAGCCCTTCTGATATGCGGCCAATCAGATGGGTCCGTTCACGTAATACGCCCGCCCCCTACGTAGACCCTTACCCCAAAATTCCACTATCTCCACTCCGCCCCCGCTTTCCGCTGCCGCTCGCTTCCCTTGTTCGTCATGCTGGCTCAGATTAACGAACGCACTTTGTGCTGAGGTTTCTGGAATCAGCGCTGCTTTCAAACGTGAACGTGAGTCCACTCGGTGTCGTTAAGCAGCTGATAATAACCGGGCTGACTCTGACACGTGCCGGTGAACCAACCCACCGTTAGCCCCAGGCTCCGGTTAGCTTCCAGCTAAAAGGCTACAGCACTCTCCTCCCAGGCCCACCCTGCTAAAGAGGGCCTGGAAAAGTTCCCCCACACATCAAAGTGATTTTTCATTTATGAGCTTTTATAACCTTGTTAATCAGGATAATTGATTTGCTGCTGCACATAAACTGTCAGTCAGAAGCTCTGCTAGCCGCTTATCTTAAGAGGAGCTAGTTCAATTTGTTAGCTTGTTATCAGAATCATAGTTGCAGTTTCATCATCTGAGCTGCTTTTTAAGATCTAGGTAAACTTGTTCAATTTGGGGTTAAAAACAAACGTTTTCACATATTTTCCATGTAGTTTTTTTGCCAGTTCCTTATCTGAAAGGTAGACAATTGTTTTTCTCTTTCCCTCAGAAAATCTTAATATTCTCCTAGTTTGGCCCAGCACAGTTCACTTCCCAATTGCAGCAACAGCCTTATATCATAACCACATAAGTGGAGAAAATGTTCAGTAGCAATGAGAGAATTTGCTGTTGCATTTAAGTGATGTTAACTATTATTTAACATTTAAACTTATTTTCTGATTTTTTTATTTATTCAAAAAACTCTGGTCAGGGATGTTTTTCTGTATTTGGAGCATCAGAAAAGGTTTTATGGTGGAGGTGATGTTTTAAAGTCACTGAGAAACTGCATGCATGCAGTTTGTTGTTTTGCTGCTAATACAGTAGCAGGTGCAGCTGCATATTATTGCAATAAAAATGTTATGTTGTAATGGAATTCATGCATAAGTTTTTGTTTGCTTTGAACCCAGAGCAGACGTCACACGCCAGACGACATCAACACTGCATACTTTAGTATTTGTTCATTTATCGTGAGTAATGCCAGTGACTTGATGCAATTTGCTGGGTTCCTTTTATAGGAAACATTATTTCTGATTGGCTTAATGAACTGACCTGAATTGGAATGTTTATTATGTGAAGTGCCTTGAGACGACTCTTGTCGTGATTTGGCGCTATATAAATAAACTTGAATTGAATTGAATATCGATATCGCAATATTAAGCACTGTTATGGAATATCGCAGGTTTTCCTAATATCGTGCAGCCCTAACATTTACTCATGCTAAATTATTTTTACCTGGTCTTTATTTTGCTTTCCTGAGAAAGATGCAAACTTCTTTAATCAGTGAAATCTTAAACATAAGCTTACAGCATAACCGCATAAAGATGTGTACAACCTCCTAGTGAGAATTACAACAGAAATAGTCAGAGTGTAGAGGAAGATGAGCCTTCTCAGCTGTATCAAACAGATGTGTTGGTGTTCCGACAGAGCCTAAATGCAACAGGAAAGGCAGGACAAGTGTTCTGATGCGTTGATGTTTGTCTCATTTGTAAACGTTTTTGGTAGCCCACTATGGCTGGTTGAGTAAAAAACAAACGGCCTCCAGTAAAATGTAGATTTTGTTCTCTTTTCTTTTCCTCCAGGGCGCCAATGCCTCTGCCTTGGAAAAGGAGATTGGACCGGAGCAGTTTCCTGTTAACGAACACTACTTTGGATTGGTTAATGTAAGTGTCACTCACTCCACTTTACATGTGATTCGGTCCTGCATCTACCACGTGTTTACGGACAAAGTGACAAATAATCTGTGCATCTTCGTTTTCAACACAAACAAACATAAATCCACATCACGTCCATCTTATCTTGCTGTTCTCCAGTTTGGCAACACCTGCTACTGTAACTCGGTGCTGCAGGCTCTGTACTTCTGTCGGCCGTTCAGGGAGAAAGTGCTGGCATACAAGGTAAGTGTCCAGTAGACACTCAGATGCTTGACTTGTCTTAATTTTAGATGCGGAGTTTAGGTTTTATAAATGTTTTCTGTTGCATTTTAGACCGTCTTGCATTTTACCCTCTAAGCGCTGGAGCTGAAAGCAGACGCTCCTGAAATCGTGTTAATAATTCCTAATTTTCCAGGGAAAACAAAAGGCACTTGACTTAATCTGTAACCAGCTTCATTTAGATAACTAATCCAAGCTGATACTACTTTGTGATTGTTGAGTTTAGTCATTAAAATAAAGTAAGGCACTACTGGGATGCAGTTTGTTGGAGAACAGAATTTAGATACAATCCTGGAAGTTTTACAGACACATAATGATTAAGGTGACAGTGTGTATTTTTCCTGGTGATAGGGGGCAGTAGATACCTAAATCGTTGCAAGCAAGCTGTATTTTTGTGTTGGAGTAAGACCTTACCAACGGATACTCATAAGGATTTAAAAAAAACCCAGGGAGTGCAGACTTCAGCAAAATAACAAGCACATCAGACTCCCTTTCATCACTGGCAACAAATGAAGAGGTAAATGTGTAAAACAACATTTAAGAATGACGAAAGTTTTGTAACTATTTGTTACAAATCAATAAATGCATTTTGTCCTCAAGGGCTCCCACAGAAGGAAATATGGCGTCTAAATACGCGTGGCCCAGAGACTTTGACCCGCTCCTGTGTGTTTTAGACCTGATTTTTATGGTTATTTTATTAAGCCGCCAATATTTTTCAACAACTGGGCTTCCTTTCGTTGTTTTTCAACATTTTGATGGATATTTCCGGAAATGAATGGTAAAAACTACACATTGTCTCTTTAATACTAGTGCACTGATATGAAATATTTGGGCCGATACCGATATCTGATATTAATATCACTGTTATGGCTGTTAACCGATATTTGATGATACCGGTAAACTGACAAAAATGCATATAAAATCAGCAGATTTTGTATAGAATGAAAATTATTAAAGCTAAATTTATGTTGTTATTCACACACACCACACACATTTACACTTCTAATATGATTACAATCACTGTCACGTCACAAATACACACCACCCCCCTCACCCTCTGAAACAGAAAAAACAAATAGAAACAAGATGGAAAAAATATTGGTTGTTTAAATCGGCCCAGTTTCATTTATCCAACTGATACTGATATGTTAAAAAATTATTTACATTGACCGATACCGATATTAGGGTTGTCATGTTGTGAAAATGTAACCTCACGGTTATTGTGACCAAAATTACCACGGTTTTCGGTATTATCGCGGTATTTTTTTAAACGTGTTACATTTTCACACGATTAAATAAACCCTGTATGTCAGGAAATATTGTCCTCAGTTTGTGTCTAAATTTTGCCTAAAATGTGTTATTTTGTAATTATGTTGTTTATTTGTTTACATATTTTCCCTTTAGTCTTTAAAATATCAATATTTGCCCATAACTTCTTATTTTTTGTCTGTTTGATGTCATCATTTTAAAAATATTAGATCAGATGATACTCAGTACTCAAGTAGCCTTCTAATCGATACTTTTTTACCCTTACTTGAGTAATAAACCCTATATCAGGTAAATATTGTCCTCGGTTTGTGTCCTTCCAGTGAGCTTTGCTGATGTGGGAAAATGTCATCAGGCAGTAATCACTGTTAAATTCATAATTATTCTCGGAGAGAGACCAACTCTTATCTGCCCCTGGGAGCCCCGTAATGCATAGCGTAATTTCAACATGGGGGTGTCCGCGACACGGTTTATATGCAGGTAGCGGCGCTGCGGCTGCTTTATATAGCGACTCGTTGCATTCTCCCTCAACCCAAATCCTCGGATCACGCATTTTAGCTAAAACGCTAACGTTAGCTTGCCTTGCGTTGACTGTAGAGTTGTGGGTGATGGTCACGCAGATGTGTCATGAGATTTGAAGCGTTGCTGCCTTTCACAGACACTTTTTCTGCACGTGCTGCAAACAGGATAGCCGTCTTCTATCAACTGTCCCTTGGCATTCTTCAAATATCCAAAAAAATGCCCGTACTTCCAACTTTGTCTTCTTTGAGGGATAAAAAATGTCCTGAGCACTGCCGTCTCCTCCTTTGGCCATTATTTCAGCTTTAGCTTCAAGAAAGTTTTGGTTGTAAACAACAAAGTGCGCATGTGCCGCCGGCAACTTCAGCAGATGATACGGTGGCTGGTAAGGGTCACCGCGCCTACACCGCAGCCGCGGTAATCCACAGAGATAATATAGTTTTTTTTTAAAGCAAGACGGTTATTATTATTGTCAACTTTTTTACCGGGGTTTACCGCTACACCAGTTACCGTGACAACCCTAACAGATACATTGTGCATCCCTTAATCCGAAATAAAAAATGGGGAAAATTCAGAATTTGACATCGCTTGGCCTTTCCATCGTACAAGTAAGCGTTGCATAATGTCTGTGAATCTTAGTACGCAGCGATTAGCCGCCGTTATAGTGGACAGGTGTTTTTCGACCGGCTGCATTAAATCTCGTTTTGGACATGTCCCAGAAGCGAGATGCGTCACCCTGCTCAGTTTATGTTTATGCTTCCAGAACATATCAAGTTAAACAGTTCAGACAGGAAGTGAAGTCATGGGAGCAGTGTAACTTCCTGTTGCTTAACTTGTAGGAAAAGTACGTAATTACCTGTGAAACCTCATACCCGACGTAAACAGATCAAAAAATAAACCATAGACCTTTACATACATGCTGCCATCTTTCTCCTTGGTTGCTAATGTGCGAACAGCTGAAATGTCGCGTGATCTTGCAATTCTCAAGTAATTCCTTTACATCCCGAGGCCTGCTGAGTGGAACACCTTCGCTACCGTTTTGTGTCTGATAAGCTCCAGGTGGGAGGGGAGCTCGTGGGTACACCGTGCCTGTCATGTTACGTGTTGCTTACGCCTCCAGTGGAAGGCCGAGTTAGCAGGCTCGACTACAACTCAAGTTCAACATACTTCACTGGCCGGGCCAAAAACTCTACCAAGATGGTTATTAAGATGCTAGTTTTGTTGTTAGGGCTTTCATACTGGAGCGTTTCATCTTGGATAAGCAGAATAAAAGAGGAACTGACTTGGACTACAAACAAAACATCTGATCGGTTGCTATCGTCTTTATTGGGCGATTTAGTGGACCTCCTTCTTCTCTCCAGGTCCAGCCTCGGCGGAAAGAGTCCCTCCTCACCTGCCTGGCGGATCTGTTCAACAGCATCGCCACGCAGAAGAAGAAAGTCGGAGTCATTCCTCCAAAGAAGTTCATCTCACGGCTGAGAAAGGAAAACGGTAGGGTCTTTGAATTTTGAATCAATTCAGGAATGCTCATGGAACAGCTCAGCAAGTACGTGCAGCTGCTGTCAGACCACGAGGCTTCCTGAAAAACATCCTCTCAAGCACCAAACATTCAGCAGACTGACACTTCTCTTTCATCGGTTACTCATTTAAACCAACTTCCTTTTGCTGCTGAGCAACACAGCTGAGATGCTGATGGGGACACTGACGGGGCAGAGAGCTGAGAAAAGAGATGTTAATCACACAGTAGCTGGGTTACGGTGTGGAAATGAAATTCAGGAGGCACTTAGTAGAACTGGCACCATTTCTTGTTGCCAGTGTGATTTTTTTTTTTTACATTCCTGCTCTTACATATCCTGCATTTCCTCTCCTTTTTAACCTTCACAGAGTTGTTTGATAACTACATGCAGCAGGACGCCCACGAATTCCTCAACTACCTCCTCAACACCATCGCAGACCTTCTCCAGGAGGAGAAGAGCCAGGAGAGGCAGCAGAATGGAAAACTCGTACTGAATGGAAGCGGAGGAGGAAGTGAGGTGGGAGGAAGTGAAGGGGAAGGAGGGAAGGAAACACAGCAGACCTGGGTCCATGAGATCTTCCAAGGAACGCTGACCAATGAGACGCGCTGCCTTAATTGTGAAGCTGTGAGTGGCTCAGTGGTGATTTGTGTTCTCTGCTGCCCAAGTGGACCGGGTCTGTCATGCCTCAACCCGTATACGTGCCTAGTTCATTGTTTTATGCACTAGAAGCAGTGTTCAAGCCGATGGCCCCCACCATGAGCAGAACACCACTGTAGCTTCTCCTGGGGAGAACAACACTTAAGCCCTTTTCAGATAGACATTCTGGAATATGTGCGGACAATTCAATCCGGTTTTTAACCGGAACTGTGTTTTCAGACACACCACTTTTGTACCGGAACTTGTCCCTTCGGCTGCCTTCACACAGCAGGGAAAAGTTCCAGATGTCTGGGGGGGGGTCGGTCGGACTTATGTTAAGCATAATTCTGCGCACACGAAGACGCATAAGAGACCAGGATGATGAAGCTCAATGGTTAAAAGGAATCACGGAAGCGGTGTGAAGCGCTCCATCGCACGTCTAGACGGTACCGTAGGAGGCGAGCTGCCATGGTTCGACGCATGCTACAGCAGCGAGCTACCTAGGTGCGCACAGCGTCCCCCGGTCCCCTCCTCCCTGTCCGGAACTCTACCTCACCAGTCTGAAGCAGCCACCTTGTCCGTAACAAGTCAGGACCTGTTACTAGGGGCGTCGTCCGGTTAAATTACGGAAAAGGTTATCCGGTTGTTTGTATTCAGACACAAAGGTCTTACGGACAGAGTCCGGAACATTTCTGTTTTTCATGGCCTGTCTGAAGGGGGCTCAAGAGGAAAAAATAAAGTTAACAGCTGAAATGGCAGGAAATAATAGTTAAAGAGCAAATTGTAGAAGAAAGTAGTCGAGTGTAGAAAGTGGTCAGTATGTCCTCTAGCAGTCTAAGCCTATAGCAGCATAACTACAGAGATTACAGAAAGCCAGCGGTCGAGTCGCATTGCTGTTAACCAGCCAGAGGAGAGATGTCCAAATATCAGGAAATTAGACTTCAAATCCTGTCGTCTGACGCTCAGCTTTGATGTGGCTCACTTCTAGTTCCTCAAACAGGTGCGCTGGAGCTTTTTTTCCTCAGAGTATGACTTACAAAGCATTCATTCTTTCTAGAGACTACTGAAAATGTATTCAGATATGAGTAAAGTACCACTTTCAATAAAAAAAATGCCTGAAACATTTCAACTTGGGCAAAGTTTTGTTATTTAACAGATTTTATTTACTGTGATTCAGATGGGCTTGATGAATCAACAGAACATTTTCTTTTCAACAAGTTCAGTAATCTACAGAATAGTTTTTCAAGAATCCACATGACCTGTTTGTGTCTGATGTCTTCTAGGTGAGCAGTAAGGACGAGGACTTCCTGGATCTGTCAGTGGACGTGGAGCAGAACACGTCCATCACTCACTGTCTCAGGTACTCGACGGTTTATTCATCACACCTGGAGAAAAAGTAAATCAGATTATTTTCTTCCTAAGAAAAGCATGTAAATGGTTATTATTATTTTTTTACAGAGGCTTCAGCAACACAGAGACGCTATGCAGTGAATACAAATATTACTGTGAGCAGTGTCGCAGCAAACAGGAGGCCCAGAAAAGGTGGGTGAGATGATAAAACCCATAGGATCTGCTTTAGGAATTTGCATATCAGTTACGGGGTAGGTTTTTCTTTCCTGAGTGTGAAATTTGTCACTTTTGTGGGACAAAGTTTAAATTAATGTAAGCTAATGTGTAGCTGTAGTTTTAGACCTGCTAACGTAGAAAGCAGTGCTTCTTCATACACAACATGTGTCTTCCTTCTGATGCATCTGGAAAAGGCATCTCCGTGCTCTGTGCATACGTCACACATCAGGTTTCAGTGAGAGAAACGGACCTCTGAAATGAAATGTAGAAACGGTTTTTAAACCTGACATTAAAACTGAACACTGCTGAGCACAATGCAGACACCTCACCCTCACTACTGAAACAATGCTGTACATTAATGCCACTGTTTTGCACATACCAACCACTGTATATTTCATATATCTTATTTTATTGTTTATTCATTTGTTAAATATGTATGTACGCATTATACACACACTCACATGCACACACGTAGAAAAATAAAAAATAAAATACTTAGCACACACATTTAGGAATGTATATACCTTACATACTATATATATTATTACTTAGATTAGCCATTTTTATATTTGCTTGTTTTTACGTTATTGTATTTTGCACAACTGTTGCTGTGAAACTCGCACACAAGAATTTCACTCGCATGTACTGTACCAGTGTCCCTGCACATGTGACGTGACAATAAAAGTGATTTGATTTGATTTGAAAAAATAATACTTTAACACAACTAAACTAGAAATGGAAAATCCTATAAAAACCACTCAGAAATGTAAGTCCACATCTTCTTCTTGATCATGTTTGGGTTAGGGTCAGCGTCCTTTAAAGGAATTCATACAGGTGTAGCCATTTTGGACACATTTTGAAAATAACGTTTTGTTCCATCTCATTCTAGCTCTTGAGCCAAGGTGCTCCTCTAGTGGCAGGCTACAGTATATCTTTTAAGTCCCACCCCCTTCCAAGAGTCCTTTCCAGGCGAATATATTGGCCATCGTCACATTTTGGACTGACGAATATTGCTTGGAGAATTTTTGTACATTGCTCAATCTGACTTGATATCAAATCTCTTAGACAGGATTGGGCAGACCTGGTCTATAGCAACACAAATGGTAAACATTTGGCAGGACTAAAGCAGATGGTGTATAATCAGGATATGCAGTGTGGCCGTAGGAACGGATGACCACGCTGCAGCTCTGTGCTGTATGATGGTGTTTCACATGGTACGACATAGCAATGGTATTATCAGAAGACCGGGCCTGCCTGAGCCCATCATAGCTCAGCTAAGCGTGGATGTTGTTTACATGCAGAACAATTTGGTCTTCCATCTGCATTTTCTGGGTACCTTAGTCCAGTTTGCTTTAAACTGAACTAAGATGTTTACACGTTTAAAAAGTCCCAACTGAAAGCGGTTTTAGCAAATCTACAAAACCAAGCTAGGTTTGAATGCAAACACGGCCACAGAACACTCACCCCTCCCCTTGGGTATCTTCACTGAGATTCTTCCACCAGGAATCCACATTTCCAGAGGGAACGAGATAGCACTAAACACCAGTCATCATCTTCTAGGTCAGGGGGTGGGCAGTTATTTTTTCCATGGGGCCACATGAGAACTAGAAAATATTGTGGAGGGCCAGGCCAAAAGGCTGAAGTCAATTATGCATAATATTAATGGTATTTCTTTATAAAAAGCAGTAAATACCATTGTTTTTTCAAGCTGGTAAGAGTAGACTATATGTTATAAATGAGCAAAAAGGAAAAAGTGAGGTTGGCTTACAAAAATGTGATTTATTCAAATTTCCCAAGGCAATGGTAAACAAAGTGCACATTTGGTTTTTGTTAAACATTTGTGACTTATATTAGTTAACAGTTTTAGTCACATTCACTCCAAAACACATTTTGAGTTTCAAATATTGTTGGAAAGAGGTTCTTAGCATTCTACAGACCAAGGGCGTCAGTTTGTTTTCAGAATTGCTGGGGACAATAACCATACACTTGAGTGGGGTTTAAAAATTGCTGGGGACAATAAAGTAGGCTAGCACAGGGGTCGGCGGCTCTGTAGCCGCATGCGGCTCTTCCATCCATCTGATGCGGCTCTCTGTGCTTATAAAATAATGAATGAATATTTAAATAAAAAGCTTTATATTTTACTGCATTAATTTTACATCTGTATGCTAATTCTAAATGTAAAGATTGTCTGCGTAAACCTGAACAGTTCCGACCCGGTCTTACTGTGAGACCGGGTTGACGCGTCACGCTTGTGCGTAATCATAGGCGCTTCCTGAGCTGGAGGATGTCAGATTCTGGGATTCTCCTCAGATGGCTCCTGGATGCGTTGCCACATTGGAGACAGGAACAAGCGCTATTCAGCCAAAGTTTCATAATCAGGGAACATTTTCTAAGTGACAAATCTCTCTGAGAGACCGGGTTTGGAAAACACTCGCTTCAGTGGGAGGAACCTTCCCGCATGCGCTCTGGTTCTGAGAGCCTGGATTTGCATTCTGAACAGTCTAAACATGTTTTTAAAAGAAACGTATGACAAAAGTGGCACCTGCTCAGTAAAACCACCAACAGGGTGAAAAATATCAAAATATTGTAGGCAGAGACGGGCTACAACTTCTGGAACATCTTTATATAAATCGTTTTATGATTATCTTCTTATGAAAGATAACTTTGACGTACACGAGCGACCAGGCGCGTTGCAAGATTTTCAAAAGTGTGGGAGATGTTGTCTGTGCCTAAAATAATTTGATGTTATTCACCTTGTTAGTTTAGTTTCCATAATAGTTGAGCAGGTGCGAATTTTAGACGCGTCACGCATGTCTCCGTTTTAAACATGTTTAAACTGTTCAGAATACAAATCCAGGCTCTGTCTCGTTAGATTGGTGTAACTAAAGTTTGTACTGAATGAAACTTTACATTAAACCATGTTGAAAAGAAAAGGATCCCATTAAATCGTTTCCCCTCATTTACAGTCACGACGTACAGCGCAGTGCGCGTGGCTCTGGGGTTAATCAAGTTTAGTTGTTTCTCTTTGCAACAATCTTCACAAGAAGGCAAAACAGTTAAACGGCAGGTTACAGATATTTCCATTTGAATGTATTTTGATGGATAAACTCAAGGATGCTGGCTGTTTTGAAAGAATTACCCCGACGCACACTGATACGCATGGATGAGCTTGGAAAAATGTTCTTTTTATGAAATTATTAAACTTTGGCTGAACAGCGCTTGTTCCCGTCTCTAATATGGACACGCATGACGCATCCAGTCTGAGGCAGAATAGCAGCTCAGAAAGCTCCTGTAGAGACATTTGATCACACACAAAGTTTATGTGGAGCAGAAGCGGTCGGGCCACGGCAGGTGAAATGTTCCTAGCCTACATGAAGTGAAACTGTTTAATTGTAACATTAATATGTTACTGGACATGCTGGTCTGGTTGGTTAGACCAGTGTTGGAAGTGGAAAACACACACACACACACACACACACACACACACACACACACACACACACACACACACACACACACACACACACACACACACACACACACACACACACACACACACACACACACACCAATTAAAATAATGCTGATAGAGTGGACTAGAAGACAGGTGATGGTTACGTATTTAAATGATGATCAGGCTGCTGTAAAATGTAATCTCCATCCACATCCAGACACAATGATCCTCTATTCTATTTGCTCTGCTCTTCTCTGGGCTGATGTAGCTGACGGTGCGCGCGCGCCTAACGGCTGTGGTGCACATCTTACGCATTTGGAGAGATGGGCTGGATGCTTTGCTTTTACTGGAAGATGGTCCACTTAACGCACGGGTGTAGACTACATATTAATGACAAATGAATGAAAATTAAATTGGGAGTTTTTACTTCATATTTTAGAAATAAAAATGACGGGGGAACACATTTATGACGTCTTTTTAAACGAAATTTTCTAGCGCGTCCTGCCTGCTTCACTAAGTCACTGCTTATTAAGGTCCGTCCAGAATTACCGTGGCCCACCCAAAGGTGAAAACCTGGTGCCGCGCCTGTTATAAACCTCTGCTAATTGTTGTTCTTCACGTTATCAAACTCAGACTTTGTACAGCTAATGTCAAGATGTAAAATGATGAATTCAGTCGAGCTCTTCCGTCCCTCCCTCTCCTGCTCTCCTGGAAACCCGACATTGGCTGTCAGAAGCGGAGGTGAAGAAGGAGATGAGGCAAACAGAGTGAGTGCGACATAAAGAAACCAGACTGGTGTGGAGGTGAGCAAAACAGCTGGAAAGGTGTGGGTGTTGAACCCCCCACGGGTGCGACGCCCATGCGAGCGACCGGTACCTGCTGCTGTCACCTGGTTGTGAGCAGCTCTCTGCTGTCTGAGGGTAGGCCCCGCCCACAACGCCGCGGCTGCTGCGGTGTTTTCTTTACTGTGGGAAATGGGTAATAATGGCTCTTTGATGGGAACAGGTTGCCGACCCCTGGATAAGATCTGAGCTGGTAAAACAAAAATCCTCATCAGCAGGCTTTTTTGAAAGTGGGGGGGACACAGCTGCCAATCACAATTTTTGCCGGGGACATGTCCCCGGCGTCCCCGGTTAAAATGACGCCTATGCTACAGACACACAGTATTGTCTGTAAAATAAAATCACTGAACTGTGATCTTGAGAAAGAGGTTTAAAAAAAAGTGTCCCAGTTCACTGCTAGTTGCCTACATTTGTGGTCCAAACACCTTATTTTGTGTTTTTAAGCGATTTTTTTTCTTATTCAGTGAGAGAAATCTAGTCCCTGCTGGGCTTTAACGAGTGCATCAAAGTCAGGTTGAATGTCTGAGGTGGAGAAGCGAAGCACAGCTGACAAATGATCATCATTGAGAGAGGATCTTTACCTGGATTTTGTAAACTTCATCATTGAAAATGTTTGTTCACAAATGTAGGTAGAGCCGAAGAAAACCAACATCTTCTGAGCATGTCTCTTCAGGTTTGGAAAGTCCTCCTTAAGAGAAGAGTAGAAATCCAGCAGAGATCCTGAATCTCTGCTTTCAAGTCCCAAACCCTCTGCAGCACTTTCCCCAGGCTGAGCCATCTGACAGCTGTGTGGAGTCCTCCAAAAGAGCCACAAACTGTCTGTGATTTATTGCCCACGCCCTGATGAAGTTTATTATTTTAGTAACAACATCAGTAACATGGTTGATTTTTAGCACTGACTTGCACAACACATGTTGGTGTATAATTCAATGCAAAAACACCTATTTTTGATCTGCATCGATTTCTGTCACTTTATCTTACATGCGTTTCTAAAGTCTGACATTTTTCCCCGTAAGATTTGGACAACCGTCTGTTGTGACACCTGACAGTCTCTCCCATTTCAATCCCAGAGTGTCCGTGCACGCATTTACCTCTGTAAAAAGATCACTCCCTGTCGTTGTCCCTTTCATCGGCTGCATTGCTGCCCGCTCCTCTGTGAGCTCCGTTATCCCCCGGACAAATACGAGCAGCTGGGCTGTGTCCCGGACATCACAGCTCCCGTCTAATGAGAAAAAGTCTAAACTTGCCACTTCACGTTGCAGCTGAAGCTCCAGGTTCCCCGCAATGTCCTCGATCCTCCTGGTCACGGTTCGCCTAGACAGCGGGATTTGCTCAAATGCGCCTTTTTTTCAGGGCATATTAGTGCGGCAGAGTCCACCATGCACTCTTCTCCCTCTGAAAACGGCTTGCTGTTTTTAGCTATTTTGTGGGATATCACAAAGCTGGTCCTGGTTGCTGCATCCCTGGATGTGTGAAGCTTAGTAAAACAGCCTTGCTGCTTTTGCAACTTTGCTAGCAAAGCTTCGGATGTCCGTGCCCTCTCAGCATCAGATGAGTTCTTGTATTTTTCCGAGTGTTTCTTGTCGTAATGCCGACTCAAATTGTAGTCCTTAAACACGGCAATCTCCTCCCCGCAAACCAAACACACGGCTTTACCTCCGACTTCAGTAAAAAAAATACTTAGCAGTCCAATTTTTGTTGAAAATCCTGCATTCGGCATCTTTCTTTCTTTACTTTTTTTTTTTTTTTTTTTTTTTTTGCATGAGCGGACATTTCTCGGGCTACAATCACCATGTCAACCGCGGGCACTTGTTGCTATACGTATTGCGTCATTGTGCACGTAAAAAACAACTTCAAAATAAAAGCAATGCAGCCTTAGCCCATGCATGAGGTAAAATGAGAAAATACATTTATTTTGTAATTTCCAATTAACCTTACGCGGGCCGGTCAAAGTCAACCAAAGGGCCGTATGTGGCCCGCGGGCCGTAAAATGCCCAGGTCTGTTCTAGGTCTAAACATCATTTTGATGTACGTGACTTCAAATTGTGTTTTTCTTTTTGGGACTCTGGTAGTTTGTTCGAAAGTTGAAGTGGTAGCAGCCGGCTGTTCCTCCTCCTCTGACGTTGTTGAGGCATGAACCTCTCACACCTGTGGTGTTCTGCTGATAAATACACAAGTGTGTAGTGAGTGGAGGACCCAGGGAAGTGCAGAAGTGCAGCGGTTTGGCAAGACCAACAACTGGATGGTCCAGTAGTTGCTTTCGGTCCAAACCGTGTTATTGGCAGAGGTTTCTAGACAAAAGTGAGAGAACCACTTTATGCATAATTTTTTTATGTTTTTATCGCTCCACAATATAGTTATAGCTATGCTATGTTTTACATTGTCGAGAGACATGAACAAAAATGTTTGAAGCTAATAAGTTTCCCAAAGCTGCTGCTGCTATCGCGTTAAGCGGACAAAGGAAATGACTTGGTTTTCTCACACTGCATGTAAACACAGAAAAGAGCGTCTGCCTTCTGTACCTCTACCGACTTCCATAACAATCGTTTTTTTTATTTTTGTCGTTGCTTAATTATTGAATTCTGATGCTGCAGGTTAGTCATCTGAGCTCCCACACAGTTTCTGCAGACCTGTGGGAGTGGCTGTCTGTATCTACAAGTAGCTGACATCGACAACAGCAGCACGGCCATTTCTTTAAGCGAACAAATATGGTCACAGTTTGTTCCATTAGTGGTTACCCCTGAAACATCTACTCATGTCACCATAGCAACAGGTCAGGGTCTTCCTGTAACATTCTGAGAATTTAGTCATGGCTGTAGGTCCGGTTAGAGGAAACTGATAAATTGAACGGTGGTCTGCCAGAGTTGCTGTGTCTTCTCTTTGTGTGGACGTTTTTAGCACTCTGTGGTTAAAGAGCGGTAGAAACTGTCAGCTCACGCGGGCTGCTGCTTGTACTTTTTCTACATAACAACCACCATTTTTCTGCTCCTGGTGGTAGGAGGTGACATCCTTTAAATGTAAAAGGGAGCTACGCTGTCAGTGGTGGCTTCACATCATGTTGACAATGTATACCTTAATAAGGAAAAGACGTCACTGATTTGGCTAAAAAAAGAGAAATATAAATTATTAAAATCAAACAGCCCTTAATGTTCATGATTGTTAAACAGTACTGTTATTAAAATAGCTCTGTGAGTACTGTGGTGGTTAGAAAAATCTACAAACTTCCTAATTTTGTGACTTTGTTTAATTCCAGTTGTGCATTCATGTAGTTTCTGGTTTTGTGTTTAATAGGGCTGAACGATTTTAGCTAAAAGTTCAATCTTGCTGTTGAAAACGGACTATAAAGTAGGGATGCAACGATACCCCTTTTTCCAAACCGATACGATACCGTTACTTGGATCTGAGTACTCGCCGATACCGATTACAGATACCGATACGTCTACCACACAAAAAAATGCAATGATTTGGAATACAGATTTTATTTTCTACTCTGCTTTCAACAGGAAAAGACTGTGAGGTAGATAAAAAGTAAAATATATGAATGGAAATCATCACAAAATAAAATATTAGGTGAACAGAAATGACAAGTTACAGTGAAGCCATTTTCAAGCAACTGCATTGGTATCGGTTCCTGGTATCGGTTAACTTTTACCGATACTGGAATCGGTATCGGTGCATCCCTACTATAAAGGTAGAGAGGCAAGTGACGATGTGTTTGCCTGTGTGGGTGTTTTTAGCTGAATATCTCATTAAAGAAACCTTTAGAAAGTTCTGTCACTTTTGCTGTCTGCCTAGTTCAAGATGGCCGACACAGCTAATCAGTATTAGCAAACACAAAGTGGCTACAATGCAGCACATACTTAGCCTGGCCTGCCAGACTCTGTTTAATTCTGCACAGAGAAATAGATTTTTTGATTTAAGGTCTTATTCTCCCGTGTTTTCAGTAAATTTGCTGTTTTCAGAAGAATTAAAGATCAGGAAGAAGCAGGATTACGAGTTTTACTCATTATTGTTCATGAAATACAAACGTCTCACCTCTGATTGGCTAACTGCAACGCACTCTTGTTCACTCTTTTTTTCTTGGGTGGAAAATGCAACATTGATGTTTAATCTTCACAAACCCCAATGTGTTCCACCATATTGTGGAGTTACTAATGGTTAGCTTCTACTAGCTGAAACGCCATACTTTCTCAGTAGAAAATGATTTTAGTTTAAAACGCTGACATGAAATGTGGTGGCTGTTGCAAACAGGATATCTGCACTAAACTCGAGTTTCCTGGTTTCAGCACGCTCTATAAGTTTTGGTATCTTGGCCATTATAATCTACATCAGGTGTGTGCTTTCAGAGAAGTCATGGACCAGTTAACGCTAGGTTAATCAGTTTCAGTTTTTTGTGTGTGAGCGTGAATCGATGCAAATATCCAGGTTTTTTTTTCTCCGCATCTCCCCAGGATGAGGGTCAAGAAGCTGCCCATGATCCTTGCTCTCCACCTGAAGCGCTTCAAATACATGGACCAACTGCACCGCTACACCAAACTCTCCTATCGTGTAGTTTTTCCTCTGGAGCTCCGCCTTTTCAACACGTCAGGGGACGCCACCAACACCGACCGCATGTATGACCTGGTTGCCGTCGTCGTACACTGTGGCAGGTGGGTGGCTCTTTTTCATGTAGACCAGGGGTGGGCAATTATTTTTTCCATGGGGCCACATGAGAAATAGAAAATATTGTGGAGGGCCGCAGGCCAAAAGGCTGAAGTCAATTATGCATAATATTAATGGTATTTCTTTATAAAAAGCAGTAAATACCATTGTTTCTTCAAGCTGGTAAGAGTAGACTATATGTTATAAATGAGCAAAAAGGAAAAAGTGAGGTTGTCTTACAAAAATGTGATTTATTCAAATTTCCCAAGGCAATGGTAAACAAAGTGTGCACATTTGGTTTTTGTTAAACATTTGTGACTTCTATTAGTTAACAGTTTCAGTCACATTCACTCCAAAACACATTCTGAGTTTCAAATATTGTTGGAAAGAGGTTCTTAGCATTCTACAGACACACAGTTTTGTCTGTAAAATAAAATCACTGAACTGTGATCTTGAGAAAGAGGTTTAAAAAAAGTGTCCCAGTTCACTGCTAGTTGCCTACATTTGTGGTCCAAACACCTTATTTTGTGTTTTTAAGCAATTTTTTTCTTATTCAGTGAGAGAAATCTAGTCTCTGCTGGGCTTTAACGAGTGCATCAGAGTCAGGTTGGATGTCTGAGGTGGAGATGTGAAGCACAGCTGACAAATGATCATCAGTGAGAGAGGATCTTTACCTGGATTTTGTAAACTTCATCATTGAAAATGTTTGTTCACAAATGTAGGTAGAGCCGAAGAAAACCAACATCTTCTGAGCATGTCTCTTCAGGTTTGGAAAGTCCTCCTTAAAGCCGGGCGTACACTGTGCGACTTTTTCACTTTTTTGAGCCGATTTTCCAGTCGTGCGAGAAGCCACGACATCGGGGCGAGTTTTGCGCCGAGCGGTCGTGTAGTGTACAGGGGGTTACGAGAGGCGATTAACACCACGTGACCAGCCGCCGATCAGCAATCGTGAGGTCGCAGGGACTTCTGGCGTGTTTGAAATTTCGCTCGTCCCTCGTGAGGGTATCGCACTGTTGAAGCGGCGCTGCGAGCAGCTGCAAGCAGCTACGATCCAAAAAGTATCGGAACCGCTCACGGCGCATGCGCGCGCGATCCTGCATCAACGCCGGCCGGTCGCTCGCTATTTAACACACGCTGTTCGTTTTTGTTTCTACACGTTTTTTTTTACTCACAAAGATTGTCAAGAAAGCGTGTTTGTCGTGTTCATGTCAAATTAAACTGATCACAAAACACAGATTCACTTTCTTTATTTCGTTTTCCTCATCCAACCCCCATAAATCCCTGTGTGTCCTCCTGCAGCACTCCCGAAGGACAACAGGCAAGACAAAAAAGTCTGACGTGTTGAGTAAAAACTGCTATTTTTAGCACATTTTTAGGGCCGACGTGTTGCTACCAGACGTACAGTGTGAGCACACGAATCGTGAGATCTGCTCTGCGAGGAAGTCGTACAGTTTGAGCTGAAGCTGAACGCTGCGAGTGAAAAAGTCGCACAGTGTACGCCCGGCTTAGAGTAGAAATCCAGCAGAGATCCTGAATCTCTGCTTTCAAGTCCCAAACCCTCTTCAGCACTTTCCCCAGGCTGAGCCATCTGACAGCTGTGTGGAGTCCTCCAGAAGAGCCACAAACTGTCTGTGATCCATTGCCCGCGCCCTGATGAAGTTTATTATTTTAGTAACAACATCAGTAACATGGTTGATTTTTAGCACTGACTTGCACAACACATGTTGGTGTATAATTCAATGCAAAAACACCTATTTTTGATCTGCATCGATTTCTGTCACTTTATCTTGCATGCGTTTCAAAAGTCCGACATTTTTCCCTGTAAAGCCGGACGTACACTGTGCGACTTTTTCACTTGTAGCACTCAGCTTCAGCTCAAACTGTACGACTTCCTCGCAGAGCAGATCTCACGAGTCATGTGCTCACACTGTACGACCCAGTTCTCGCATGCGACCTGACTGCTCACACTGTACATCTGGTAGCAACACGTCGGCCCTAAAAATGTGCTAAAAATAGCAGTTTTTACTCAACACGTCAGACTGTTGTGTCTTGTTTTGCCTGTTGTCCTTCGGGAGTGCTGCTGGAGGACACACAGGGATTTATGGGGGTTGGATGAGGAAAACCAAATAAAGAAAGTAAATCTGTGTTTTGTGATCAGTTTAATTTGACATGAACACGACAAACACGCTTTCTTGACAATCTTTGTGAGTAAAAAAACGTGTAGAAACAAAAACGAACAGCGTGTGTTATTAGGGAAATAGCGAGCGACCGGCGTTGATGCAGGATTGCGCGCGCATGCGCCGTGAGCGGTTCTGATACTTTTTGGGTCGCAGCTGCTCGCAGCGCCGCTTCAACAGTGCGATACCCTCACGAGGGACGAGCGAAATATTAAACACACCAGAGTGCGACCTCACGACTGCCGATCGGTAGCTGGTCACGTGGTGTTAATCGCCTCTCGTAACCCCCTGTACACTACACGACCGCTCGGCGCAAAACTCGCCCCGATGTCGTGGCTTCTCGCACGACTGGAAAATCGGCTCAAAAAAGTGAAAAAGTCGCACAGTGTACGCCCGGCTGTGACAGTCTCTCCCATTTCAATCCCAGAGTGTCCATGCACGCATTTACCTCTGTAAAAAGATCACTCCCTGTCGTTGTCCCTTTCATCGACCGCATTGCTGCCCGCTCCTCTGTGAGCTTGAAGTCCGTTATCCCCCGGACAAATACGAGCAGCTGGGCTGTGTCGCGGACATCACAGCTCCCGTCTAATGAGAAAAAGTCAAAACTTGCCACTTCACGTTGCAGCTGAAGCTCCAGGTTCCCCGCAATGTCCTCGATCCTCCTGGTCACGGTTCTCTGTTTTTAGCTATTTTGTGGGATATCACAAAGCTGGTCCTGGTTGCTGCATCCCTGGATGTGTGAAGCTTAGTAAAACAGCCTTGCTGCTTTTGCAACTTTGCTAGCAAAGCTTCGGATGTCCGTGCCCTCTCAGCATCAGACAAGTTCTTGTATTTTTCCGAGTGTTTCTTGTCGTAATGCCGACTCAAATTGTAGTCCTTAAACACGGCAATCTCCTCCCCGCAAACCAAACACACGGCTTTACCTCCGACTTCAGTAAAAAAAATACTTAGCAGTCCAATTTTTGTTGAAAATCCTGCATTCGGCATCTTTCTTTTTTTTTTTTTTTTTTCATGAGCGGACATTTCTCAGGCTACAATCACCATGTCAACCGCGGGCACTTGTTGCTATACGTATTGCGTCATTGTGCACGTAAAATACAACTTCAAAATAAAAGCAATGCAGCCTTAGCCCATGCATGAGGTAAAATGAGAAAATACATTTATTTTGTAATTTCCAATTAACCTTACGCGGGCCGGTCAAAGTCAACCAAAGGGCCGGATGTGGCCCGCGGGCCGTAAAATGCCCAGGTCTGATGTAGACCGTGGGTCTCCAACCGTGGTCCTAGACGACCAGTATCCTGCATGATCTAGTTATCTCCCTGCTCCTGCACCCCTGATTCAGCGAGTGAATCACCTGTTCAACTAACACAAAGACCAGGGGTCTCATTTATAAAACTTTGTGTAGAATCCTTACTAAAACTGTAGTTAAGCTCAACAAAAAAAAAAGTACTTTCACCAAGTAAGTTCCTGACCTATAAAACATGGAGTACGCACAGCTGCACGCAATCTCCGCTTTATAAATCAGAAACTACCTAGAAACGTGCTCAGCTGTTTCTGGATAACATCCCGCCCTCACCACGCCCACTTTCTGCCATAAATGGTCGATGTAAAGTGCTTTGTGGATCTCATGCATATACATCAGCCGTCTTGTTGCAGCAGTCCACCATTAACGATGGCGACCGCAGATAAAGGTGGTGGGGGTGTCTTGTTCTGTGTGAAAATGAAGCGGTACAAGTGATAATGCGGCAGGATGTCGTAATTGTATCCTTCTCAGCAGCAGCACTGCAGGTGCTCTCCATGTCCAACATGTGCGTAAGCCAGGTCCTTAGTCAACTTAAAGTTGCGCACATTTTTCCGCTAAATTTTCTTTTATAAATCCCAAAGTTTGCTTGGAAAGTGGCTTACGCAGTTTTCCGACCCCGTTTTGTGCGTAAGCAAGCTTGATAAATGAGGCCCCTGGTGTGTTGGAGCAGGGACAGAAGGAAAACATGCCAGATAAAAGCCTTCAATGGCCTGGGTTGGAGACCCATGATGCAGACCCTTGTTCAGACAGAAACATGGGTGTTGCCTGTAGAGCATTGGTTTGTTTGTGTCTGTATCAGACTTGTAGATGTTCTATGGATGTTCTATGGTTCTTATGGATTCTGTAGATTATTTATGCATAATCAGTAGGAAACACCAGCCAACAGTCATCTTCTGTTGTCAGAAGATGACTGACAGCTCGTTTTACCACATGGTTTTGTTTTATCTTAGATTTACATGAAAGTACCAGGCACTCTATTTTCTCACCCCTAGAACTATAATGTAGTCTGTGTGTGTTTCTTTCTCTCCATTTCAACACTTTTACTCCTTACTTGTCATACTGACACAGGCACATACTACTGTCTGTCCTTTTTACGTTGCAGTGGGCCCAACCGTGGACACTACATCACTATTGTCAAAAGCCACGGCTTCTGGCTGCTGTTTGATGACGACATCGTAGAGGTGAGAAACCATCCTATATTTAAGTAGCTGAACAAAAATATTTGTATTTGATAGGAAGGATGTTGTTAATAGGCTCCGAGACTCTTGTTTAATCCTAATTTAACATAAACCTAAAATTAACTCCCTTCTGAGTTAGATTCTCCTGTCAGGAGAAAACTAAATGACAGAACTCAGAAAAAAATCTGAAAGGAGAGTCCTATTTAGCTCTTTTATTTTCTGGTCGCCACATTGCTGTTACATTATCGTTTAAATGCTACTATTTATCATCTTTGTTGCTCATGAATCAGCCAAGGGCAGTCGGGTCAGCCTGACCTGGACAGTGCACTTTGAAAATGAAAAGTAAAAGATAGTGTTTCACTATGTCAGTAAACCCAATCCTTCAGCCTCTCCTTTTTTATTGTCCTACTAAAAAGTATGAATTCCCTGAAAGATTTTAGAATATTTACTTACAGATGGGCTTCTAATTTATATTTTTATCTGGTTATTAGTTCTTGGGAGTTTTTGTTTGGACATAGGAAGAATTCTTTTTTGTGTTCCTATATGTTTTCTAGGGAGGTTATTTGTTCACTAATGGTCGACGGGAGGTTTAGGTTTATTTCCAGACATGACCAAAGCCCAGAGTTAGTTGTTAATTCTTGATCCAATCCTGTCTTTCACCATGAAGTTATTGATTCTCTCCCCATCATTTGTTTGCATTAAAAGAAACCCTGTTTGCACCACAGCTGACTGGATACAAGATCTTTCTTGGGTAACAAATAAGGGATGTAGGAAAACATTGATGCACCGAAATGTCACGATGTTATCATACTGAATCTATATTTGAAAGCAGTTTATTATTGATTTATGTTTTTAATTGAGAACTTACATGCAAATATTTACAGTATTTTTTGTGTGGTGCAATTCAAACATCTTCCTGTCTTAATTCTGTCGGAACAGCGAGATCTCGGGATATCACGGCACGGGTCATCCAATTAAATCCAGTGTTAAAATTTCAAATGTCGTTGTGCATTTAGTATCACAGTAAATCGTATCGTTTCCCCTTTATTGCTATAAATATCCTATTGCAGAATTGTTGTCACGACACAAGATTTAAACCTAAAGCAACTATTGGGACAGTAATCTCCTGTTGTCAGTAAATCAGCTTTGGGAGGATATTCCAACAAACCTGCACAAACTCAACCTATTAAACACGCCTGCAACGTGTTTTCGGATCACAAATACATCTGTGTAAAGCAACGATTGGAAAGCACCAAAAATACTGCAGAGAACCCATGTTTTTTCTTTAAGGAAGAACGTACAGTATACATCGTACCACTCCAGTTTTTGCTTTTCCTCAACTCAACTTTATTTATAAATCGCGCCTTACAGGCAAGAAGATGCCACCAAGGCGCTACACTGATCAAATAAAAACATAAAACACTAAGTCCAGAAAATAAAACATTGCATCACACAATACAGATAAAACTACAGTGAGTAAAATCGCTATAAGTAAAACAATAAAACTAGTTAGAAAGGTTAAAAGACAGGTCATAAAAATATGTTTTTAGCCTTGCCTTAAAAACAGCAACAGAGGTGGAGGCCCTTATGCTCAGAGGAATCTTATTCCAAAGCTTAGGACCTGCCACAGCAAAAGCCCTATCACCATGCATGAAGAGGAGCATGAAGTTCTCCGAGCGGAGTGACCGTGAAGGGGTGTATGGTTGAAGTAGTGACACCAAGTAAGGAGGGGCTAAACCATTTAACGTTTTAAAAACTAGTAAAAGTATTTTAAAATGAATCCTAACATCAACGGGCAGCCAGTGAAGCGCAGCCAGGACAGGAGTTATGTGATCAAACTTGCGCCTGCCCTCTAAAAATCTGGCAGCAGCATTCTGCACCATTTGCAACCTGGCTATTGAGCCCTTGCTCACACCAAATGAGCAACTGTTTTCCTTTGAAACCTGAGCGGCACCCTCCCTGTGGTTGAACGTGGAGGGATGTTGCTGATGTTAGAAGCTGATCCCACCACCAGCTCTGTAGTTTTCCTCTACACAGACAGTCCCGCTCACACATCTGGCCTGTAGGATTCTGCTGAATCTGCAGGGCAGAAACACCAACTTATCATTTTACCAAGATGTGGAGATTCACCCAGCCTCCCTCCCCACCTCAGTGTTTTTGATATATGTTTATATTTCATCCTGTCTAGGACTAGAGAGAATCTATCTTTAGCAGGAAAGCTTGATGTATCCAGTTTGGGTCTTTGTTGCTGGAACTGAAACAGTTCCTTTTAAAAGCTGCAGCCTCTTTCTTTCACCGACAGCCCAGCAGTCTGTAACAGATGTCAGGATATTTACCTCTTACTGCCAAAAAGTGCTGCTTGATTATAGATGAACAGCAGTAGTCTTTTCAAAGCCACATGGGATTTTTTGTTTTGAGGAAAGAGGGGATGAGAAGATTTCTTGCTATGCACTGGTTTATGATACAGGGACTCACAGCAAGGCATAAACTCCAGGTTAGACATTCATCTGTGTTCCCATTAATCACCCTGCTATAAACCCCAGCTGTAAAGACCTTTATACTGGTCTGATGATACAAATCGTCATGAATCCAGCTGCTTTAAAAAGGGATGGATCAGGTATAATTCTGTTGGGCTCTGTGATAGGTTAATGGTTAGTTAGGCTCCAGATACCTTTGGAGTAACCTCGGTTCTGAGAAATCTGTTTTGATCAGATTAATGTGCTAGCCAAAGCCAAAGATGATTACCAGCTTCGTAAAACAACTTGGATAACAATTATTTTACAAATTAAAACTGTTTTTTAGCCTCTCATCATGTTCATTCTAGGGGTGTACCGGTTGCAGTTTTTGGCCGATCACTGATCTTGAGAAAAACCTCACTTACCGATACCGATTTTGTATGAACTAAAATCAGATTACGTCAATGGTTCAATTTCTTTTTATGGAGAAAACCAACATGAGTACTCATGAAACAATACCAGTTTCCACTGGACCTGAGGTCATGTTCTCAAATACAAATGAACATATTTAGCATTACTGTTTGAACTACTAAATCATATTTGTTCCTTTAGACTTTTATTTTTCTAATGTTGAAAACTAAACTTTTGTACCTGTTTTGACACACTTGTCCAAAAAATATTTGCTTTAACACTAACTAGGGGTGCACCGATAGCGGTATTTGGCCGATCACCGATCTTGGAAAAAACCTGAGATCTGTGCCGATAGATCGGTGCACCCCTAGGTCATTCAGTGTGTTTTTGTTTTTCCCAATTATGTAATTGTTGTGACACGTTTTCTACTCTGTATGAATCAGAAAAAGGGGTTGTTTTATGAGTCTCTATATCAGATGAAACTTTGTTGTGAAAAATTGATGGGGTCTGAATACTTCCCTTACCCACTTTAAATGCTGTTTTATTTGAAGGACCAGAACACGTGGATCTGAAAAGTTCAGGAAACCTCTTAAATGTTTGTTCTTTTCATGCAGAAAATTGACGCCCAGGCCATCGAAGAGTTCTACGGTCTGACGTCGGATATTTCCAAGAACTCCGAGTCTGGATACATCCTGTTCTACCAGTCCAGAGACTGAAGCAGACAGATGTCGCAACAGACTGTCAACCCAACCGTGGCTGCGTTCAGTACGCCCAGCCTTCATCACCTGTAGGGCGGAGCTTTATACTGGGGCACCATTTTGGACAGGTAGAGACGCGCGTGGGTTGCATGGCAGCCTCCTGGATTTCAAATCCTTTGAGTCCACACTGAAACAAGCACCTTAACTATAAAACACTGACCTATTCTGCAACACCCGCTTTGCACTGTGGCATCAGGAAGGAGGACTGGGGCATCGCTGTACGCTCAGCGATGAAGGTAACGTCTGACGAGAGCCGTGAACCATGACAGACGCGTACGGCAGCTGGTGTCAGAAGATCCTGGTGTTATCGCTGACCTCGGTAGATCTTTTCCTAATTTACAGCAACGATTAAAGCTTTTCTTACCTTTAACACCATTCACGTGTTCACCCTTCACGAATCTTATGTTTTATGTTTATTTATTTGGCAGACGCTTTTATCCAAAGCGACTTACAATTTATAACCTATAGGGCATGTTGTGATCTGTGGGGGAATCCGGCGTACCCGGAGGAAACCCACGCATGCATGGGGAGAACACCCAACTCCACGCAGAAAGGCCGCAGCCGAGTTTTGAACCTGCGACCTTCGTGCTGCGAGGCAACAGTGCTAACCACTGCGCCACCATGCAGCCCAACAGCACTCGTCACCACTGACATCGCCTTTAGAGGTCGGAGCGTTTGAATGTGCACCCTGAGCACGTGCAGAGCGGTAGATCGGTGTTCATATTTCACCGTTTGGTGTTAGGGGTTACAGTGTTAAAGTCAGAGCGTGGAATGAGTCCGATCGGTCTGATCTCAGGCCGATGGGCACAGCGGCGTGTTAGTAACGGATGATATAAAATAAACAGTGAATCTTTATTTCAAAAATAAAAATGAAGGAAACTGACCAACAATTCTTTTTGCTTTATCGCCCAAGTTTTACAATGTTTTAGTTGAAGCCACCAGATCATATAAAGTGAAGTGAAGTTGAAGTGCTTCTGATCAGCCGTACCTGGTGGCGTGCATAAGGAAACACTCCAGACACTGAACTGGATCAAGAACAAGTCTGACAACAGAATAAGCTAACTCTTTTTTTTTTGTGGTTTTGAACTCAGATGTGTACAACCTAGTCCAAAGAGCAAACGCACATGTTGATTTCTTATTCCTAACACCCAGACGGTCTGTTGGATCCTGTCAGATTTTAGCTTCAAGTGTTTCTCCGGCAGCTGCAGCTCTGGAACCCGATCAGATCTTTTCTGTAACGTGTTTTTCTCAGAATTATAAACAGCAGCTCTGGCTGAGGCTGAGCGATGCTAACAGTCTGCTTTTGTGATGATGCCACTCACTCTTCTCAGTTTATCTTAAAATCTTCTTAAGCTCTAAATACAAACATTTAGTGACGTTAAATTTCACGGCTTCTCAGTTGTAGTTCAGTTATTTTCCTTGTCTTTTTATGAGGATTTGCTTTCATATCAGCTGGTAAACTCTTTGTGCGGGTTTACCATCAGGACACATGGTCAGCAGGTCACAGAGGTCATAAATGTGACATGTGGTGACCTCTGTTACACTATTAGTTAGGTGTTGATACCCAGGATGTTAATCAAACCCCCACATCAATGGTCACTGTTGTTGTTTTCGTTGTGCACAAGTTAAGAAGTGCAACATTTAACTGGAAAATCACTTTGCTACAATGTCAGAGATTCTCGTGTTAAATAACAAAAATCACCTCCGAATATCAGAATCATAGGGAACACTTTACAATAAGTGTCCCTTTATTAGCCTTAATTAGTGCATTATTAAGCAATAATAAACAAAGGGTCCCTTTATTAACATTTATGATAATGTTAACTATTAAATCATTCACTGCCAGCGTTTCTCACCGTTTTTACTGTTTTTTTAGGAGTCACTGAACGTTGCGCGCTAGGATGATGTCAACACCAAAACCACCAAAACAAAGCAGAGACTCACCTCTTACAACTGAAAGAATCCGCGTGTTTCGAGCGTTATCTGTTCTTTCATAATCCGTTGTTGAATTGTGATCGGCAGAAGTTTTTCCGGTTCATGCCTCCCTTTTTTTACAGCAGCGACCAAAACGATCTCCTAACACATGGATGTTCTGCTTCCTGATCACGTGACGTGTGACGTATGCGAACGAAGATCGGCTTTAGAGCTTAGATGTTTGTTCTCATAGTGTGGGGGCTCGTTCTGACGCCCACACAGTAAAAAAATGCAATTGACAGTGAACATTTGGATTTAAAATGATGACATTTGTCGTCAATGGCAGTGAATGAGTTAATAAAGTAATGGTAATAAAGGGACATTTATTGTTGAGTGTTAGCGAAACATCTGTGTTGATTATCAAAAATAAGGGATGTCCGTTCAGAGCTAGCTCCAAGTTTGAAAGCCAATATCTGTCCAACGTGAAAAATAACGAGGGAAATGTGCTCCAATAGCTAAGATTAGTTTGTTCCAACCATCCATTACAACTAACATCTCTAATCTAAAATGCACATATTTAGAAAAACTAAAACATCTTCTTAAAGTCTCTGATTTTCGTCTCCTCATTTTTCACTGGTCTCCAAATCCTAAGAGTCCCGCGTTACTGCGTCCAACTTTAGTTTTAATAAAATCTTGGTTATTTGAAAGTTCTCAACATTTGTGACAAATAGATGAAAAAGTGCCAGAAATACAAGATAATTTAGGTGGGTTCAGACAGCTTGCGACTAAATTGCAACAAGAACTTCATGAAATTGTCTCTAATGCATGCAGTTGAGTTTCGACACATACAAAAGTAACATATTTTTAAACACTAGTCACAATGTGATAAATGCCAACAGAATATGATTTGATTTGAAAGTTTGTGTTTCCAACAAGTTGTCAGTAGTGGCAGAGAAGTGAGATTAAACCATTTTATCAGGATTTTCTGTCATCCAGGGATTCCTAGAAATTTAGAAAAATCGTAGCAGAACTTTTTAATTGTCTAATCTGAGGAGCTTGCTCTCTCCTAACAGAAAACTGCAGAGTAACAAGCTTTTAAACTGTAACCAGAGCTTCGACAAAGGGGCAATATGTAAGAATTATACCGTTAAATAATCACAGAACAGTCTCATGTATTAATCATGTTGGAGGGAAGGTTGGAGGGTTTTCAGTTTTCTCTTTTCAAAAAAATAATAAAGAGGGACATAGCTCAGTGGCCTAGAGGTATGAGTGTCCGCCCTGGGAGATCAGGGTTCAAGTCTCGGTCGGATCATACCAAAGACTTTGACAAAATGGGACCCAACGCCTCCCTGCTTGACGCTCAGCATTAAGGGGTTGGATTGGGCGGTTAAACCACCAAATGGTTCCCGAGCGCGGCTGTGTCTGCAGCTCACCACTCCCCCAGGAGATGGGTCAAATACGGAGAACAAAACTAATGAGATTTTAAGTTCAGTGTACTTTGTGAGGTTGTGCAGGTAAAAAACTCAAGAGTTGTTTAAAGAACCAAAGCCAGTAAACAGGAGCGACCCAGAAATTATTTCTTGTACCCCTAAGAACCCATGCCGTCCCTTAGTTTTACTCTAAAATCAAGTGAAGCGGGCTAGAGTCTAATGTTGAGCTCACAATGCAAACGATGAACTAGAAGCACATAGTCGGCTCTCAATCTACTTTTTCATTGACCAACGACTCGATATTACAGTGAAAATGTATGGGAAGTGAATTATGACTCAAGCGTGGCGTTTTACTTCCTTTAAGGGGTCATTCAGAACTATAAGCTAACAAGAAGATGGGAAACAACTACACTTCCTCCAAGACTGGATAAATATTACTGTAATAAGTGTAGTAAGTGCTCCCTACCAAAAAAATACACCCAGGAGTGCTATCACCAGCTGTGTGTGTCTCGTCTTCACTAGTTATCTAGAATCTTCTAGTGCTGATCTCTAGCTGGCAACAGTCATGAAACTCACCGAACAGGAGTGAGAAAGGGACTTGTTGCTTAGGAAAATAGACTGCAGTAAGGAAATTTGACCACACATAATCACTCTTACTTCATTTTTACACATTGTACCTTAAATGCAAGCTAGTTTAGAAACCACTCATTTGATTCTCCCCTCTGAAAATATTTAGTGTAGAGTATTTTGGGAACATAGAAGGTGTAGACAGCCACTGAAGTGTCTGGGGTTTTAGATTCAGAACCACAAACCTCCTCAACTAACATGAAACCGGGTAAAATTTCTTACGTTTAAACACAAAGTGAGCCAAGGACTGTGCTCGCATTAATGAAGCTCTTACTGTAGCTTAACGGGTTGACCTGTAATCCCTTATAAACCAAATGAATACTAGGATTTGTGGGTTTTTCACTGCCGTACTTGAACACATTTGTTGTTTTTCATTTTTTACTGAACTTCTTTTAACACTGCCAAACTTACGAGACTCCACCCGCTAGGGCTGTTCCTGATTAACCAACAAGCTCACCTCTGTAGGCTACTTCTTCCAACCTATGGGAAGTAAATGAAAAGCTGCTGCCTTCACTGTGTGTACGGTGATTGTGTAGCACGGCAGACGAGTGTTCGGAAAAAGGATCGTCTGAACACTGATGTACAACAAAATGAAAACGGCTACATTTTCTCTTTTAGGCGTAAATCCAACACAACACTAGCTCCTCTCCTGCTCTCTGTCACTCCACTTTAAGGAAGTTCAATAAGGTTGAACGTGCTTTGGAAAGTTTTTGTTCTCAGCAAATTGTTAGAAAGAACCCAGGAAGACTTGAAATAGAATCAGTGGACTTGTTTTCATACAAGTGAAGTTTATATTTTAGGGTTTTTATTAATGATTAATTCTTAAAAAGTCACACAAAGGAGAAAACGGCTAACGTTTTCAAAACAATGTTGTTTTTGATTGTTTTTATTTAAACCGTAATGTATTTAACATTATTCTGAATGTTTGTTTTTAACGCTCCGCCTGTTTTTGATATATTTGACTAAATGGCACCAGCCTACCATTTCTGTGTAGTCTGGGTTTCTTTTCACCTTTGTTTTGATTTAAACTTGGGTGTGTGTAATGAAGTATGTTGATGTGTACATATATACAGATATTTACAGATTATTATTAATATTGGGATATAACTAAGTGCTTGCTTGAAATAAACAGCAGACCGACATCAGACGTGGTGATCTGTTAGGTTTCAAGCGTTCACCGGCTGCTTGGAGAGTGACGCAGTGCAGAAACATCTGTTACTGTGATGAATGTGTTTTTAAGAAAAACCCTGCTCTCGAGTACATAAAAAATTTTGGAAAAAAAAACTGCTGGTGTTTCTGTTTTTTGGTGAAAATAAAATTTTTATTTGATGTTTATTTATTTATTTGCTTCTCTGCATCAAAACTATTGGAGTGAGGTGGCTCGGGCACTTGATTAGGGTGTCTCCTGGTCACCTCGCTCTGGACGTTTTCCAGGCATGTCCCATTTGGAGGAGACCCCCAGGAAGACCCAGAACTTGCTGAAGGGATTGTTTATCCTTTGGGCTGGGAATTCTTCGGGATCAGCCAGAGGGAGCTGGGGAGAGGGATCTGTTACCCCGGTGACCTCACCTTGGATAAAATGAAGATCACAGATAAATGGATGGATTTCTTTATTTGTTTTTAAAATTAACACTAAAAAGCATGGATTTAGGTTTGAGTATTTTTTAGAGTTTGATGGAAAATAGAATATGGAAATGCACTTGTGTTTCAAGACTTTCATCTATTTTCAACACCAGGTTGATTATAGTTCAAATCAGCAAAACAGTTTTATATTTATAATGAGCATAGTTACTGATGATATCAAATGAAAACCTGACATTGGCCAGGACAAAAGCATTACTCCTAGAAAAGCTTCACCATAGGACATGTTGGTCTAAGGCAGGGGTGTCAAACATATGGCCCACAGGCCAGATCCGGCCCGCAAACGGGTTAAATCCGGCCCGCGAGATGGTTGTGTAAACTTTATTTTCATACTTTACAATGTAGAGTGAAAATAAACGTATCTTTGTGAGCAAGTTTTCTCTGTAATGAGTATAAATAAAACAAAGATGCGCTCAAGGCTCACACAAGAACTTGAATCACATCCTGAAGTTGGCCGCCACTCAGGATGTGACTTCTGATGTTGATGTGCTGGTGAAAGCTAAAAGATGTTAAGTAAAATGAGTCTAATACATTTTAAGTGCTGCATGAAACTGATCTAGCCACGTGATCTGTAAGCTCTTTGAATCACTAAGGAATGTTTTTTTTATTTTTTATTTTTTTCAAATTTTCAAGTACACTTCAGGTGTTGCACTTGTACTATTTTGGATACACTGTCCTCAGGCTCCAGCCTTGTTTGATATTGATTGTATTAAAACAAAGGAAACAATCTGAAGTTGTTTTTAATTTACTGGTCCGGCCCACTTGGGACTAGATTTCCCTCGATGTGGCCCCTGAGCTAAAATGAGTTTGACACCCCAGGTCTAAGGTGTGTCCTTTAAAGGGAGATTTCACCCAAAATTGAAATTTTGTCTGTATATTTCCCAGAGTTAAGTGGGGAAACACAATGTTTAACCAGCCCAGGCATTCTCCTGACCCAGCTGGACTCCTTTAGCTTTAGTTTAGCAGAAAACACAATAAGTGAATGGATCTAACTCGCATTGTGAGTAAAAACATCCTTAAAGAGCAAGTCACCCCCTACAAGAAACTTATTTCACTCCCTCTTCATGTTTGAAAAATGCAACAAATGCTGTTGCCTAGCTGACTGAGAGGGTGGAGCCACTAACAAATACACACACACACAGGCTCACAACGGCACTGTGACATCATAATGTACCAGTTTACATCATAGCATACCTCTTAGCCAATAGCGGTGGCAGATTTAAATTCAAATGCAGTGCAGAGTTTTTACCTGACAACGGCGCAACATTGACAGTTTTAGGCAGAATATTTAAATTTTAACAAAGATGCACTGAAGTACCAAATTATTGACTACACGTGTCTGCAGCACATTTAGACACACATTTATATAGTTTATCAGCAAAAAAAAAGTTGATTTGGGGGTGACTTGCTCTTTAAAGTCTCAGTAGTGATCCCAGTTCTGCTTGGTGATCTGATCAGACATAGTGAAAATAATTAGTGACATAAATGAATCACAGGTGCCATTTTACTTTTGGAACTACTTTTTAAAACTAGATATATTGAAACTAAAATGTGTGTTTTAACCAAGTTGTGAACATGGTTGTTGCTGTGAAGGTGGCATTATTAACATGGGAGTCGCTGAGAATTTGCTCGTTTCTGGTGCCAGCCCCTAGCGGTTGAGAGTGGAACTGCATTTTTTGTCACTTCCATATTGGCATCAGGTTTGAGGTCCTCGGCATCTCCCTTGGTCCCAGCCCACTTCAACATTGGCAATATATCAACATTGGTCACTGCGCAGACACTTGTAGGTTTCCAAAAAGCTGAATTTTAAGCCCTTGTAGTTCCCACCACCGCCATCATGACCACGTCACATACCGTGCCACTCCTGTCACACCCACATCATTAAGCTCGAATCATCTCAGATCGTCTTGAACTTGACAATCAGTTCACTGTACTCAACTGGCCTCCACATTTATCAGATCTCATAAAAAGCATGACTGGCACTGACCAAAATGCATGTTGAGAAGACACCAAGCGTCCTTTGGACAGATGAGACACAAGTGGAGCTCAGTCATCATCTGCATGTTCTCAGAAGCAGAAAAGAACCCTGAGACAGCTGCTGCAGCAGAAGTGGGTCAAGTCTTGATGATGAGTATAACTAAATATTGCTTCCTCTTTTTTTTCTTTCTCAAACCGACTTCTGGTTTCACACCTAGAGAATAGATCTGATTGGTCATTGACCATGTTGTGGGTTTGTGTGTGTTCTACAAACTGCTGTCTGAAGTACACTCTGAGTCTGTCTGTTCCAGTCTGTGGGTTAGGGGGGATTTTCTCCTCTTCACATACAGACATAATGCTGGGAGCACATGAAAACCTGGTTCATATGTAACCGTTAAAGTGGAAAAATGACACAAATGTGTTTAACAAAGTGGAGCTCTATAACTGGCATTTTCTGATAACTTTTCATATATTTTCTGCTGCTTTTCTGGCTTAAAATTTTCCACTAAAGCACATTAAGATCAAACAGTGACCAGTTTCAATAGAGTTAAAGCAAAAATAACCCATGGGTGATAAGATATCATACTGAATATAATCTGGCAGAAACTCAAAAAAGCCGTTACTGTTCACTTTTACAGGGTGGTTAGAAATCCCTCAGAGACGCGGCCTGCTGCCCGCTTACTCAAACCTAAAGGAAGTGTAGTCATTTACTGTTTTCTCTACAAGTGAGACTTAAAGCAGTAGCTTGTAACATTCGGGTAAGGTCAGATTAACTACTTTCATAAGGCTTTTTATTTAGCGGAGAGGGAGTTCTTATGAAGAAAAAGGGTTAGGGTTACATGTGTCTAAAAACATCCTTCGATTAATCTAAATAGATTTTGAAGTGAATTTTCTTTTACTCTAGATGATTTTTATTGGCTGCTAAAAGTGTGTGATCATGTTTTGCCCGTCTGTGTGTTTTTTCAGTGCATTTAACTAAATCTCTCATGTTTTACTGGACATTTCTCTGAAAAATAGCAGATTGCATGAACAAAAATAAGTTTTACAGGAGTTGGCTTTGATGGTGAGGGTGGAAGCCAGTCAGACCTGGCAGGCCTAGACGTATTGTAAGGGTCTGCTGGGAGAGTCTGGCAGAGTCTCCTGTAAGAATAATGTCACAACTGTCACACCCGGTCATGTCTCCCCGTTTAGTTCAGCCTTGTGTCTCGTTGATTACTCCCACCTGCCTCTCGTTTCCCAATCACCTTAGCTCCCAACCCTCCTGTATTTAAACCCTGTCTGTTCTTTGTACTGTGTCGGATCATTGTTTCATTGTCCAGCGTGCTTCAGTATTAAAACCCTTTGAATGTGCTCACCTGTCTGCCTGTTTTCCTGCTCCGCGTTGGATCCTCATCTCAGCTCCGTTCCTCTCAGCAGCGCGCTGACAGAATGATCCGACCCAAACCCGTTGTGAGATCCAGCGAGGAGATTCTCCCGTGGGAGCACCTGCTTCAGTGGCTCACTCCGAGCCACCACCCAGCTTCTCCATCGCCTTCCCCTGCTTCAGTTCTGCCTCGCCGAAAACGCCGTCCTCGGCCATCAGCCGCAGCAATCCTCGCTGCTCTCCCGGAACCGGACGAGGGGTCGGACCGGGAGCCGCTTCCGGATCGCTCCAGCTTCGTGGGCACCCGCCTGGCTGTGTGCTCCCCGGGAGTTGGCCCACGGCGTGGGGAGGCATGCCGGGCTCCACCGCAGCGGCTGGTCCCTGGACGGAGCCGCGAGCTCGCTGCAGTTCTGGCTCAGTGCGCCAACTTGGACACGCCCCCAGTCAGACCAGCAGTCCCGTCTCCGGTCCAACTAGCGCCTTCGTCATCTGCAGGCGGAGGAACCACGCCCACAGACCAGCTGATGGAGCTCCAGGCGGAGCTTGACCGGATCCGCCAGCTCGTCAGCCTCCAGGAGAGTCACCTGGACACTCTATCCTCCCCGAACCGCCAGGAGAGGAGTGAGCCCGTCCACCCAGCGGAGCTCGCTGGTCTCCGGGCTGAACTGGCCCAGCTCCATCGAACCCTCAACCTCCAGGAGCTTCAGCTGGACGGGCTGTCCCCCCTGCTCTCACGGCTTCCAGCCCTACCAGTTCCACCACTTCCAGTCCAGCCTGTCCAGGCAGCCCCTCCTGCAGCTGCCTCGCCTCCACTCCAGAGGGCCCAGAAGCAGAAGGGACGGGCTCAGAAGCAGAAGGGATGGGCCCAGAAGCAGACGGTTCCGGTTCTGGCCCCGAAGCGGACGGGTCGGCCCCAGCAGTCGGCGGTCCAGCAGTCGGCGGTCCAGCAGTCGGCGGTCCAGCAGTCGGTGGTCCAGCAGTCGGCGGTCAAGCAGTCGACGCCCCCGGACCAGAAGTCGACACCCCCGGACCAGAAGTCGACGCCCCCGGACCAGAAGTCGACGCCCCCGGACCAGAAGTCGACGCCCCCGGACCAGAAGTCGACGGTCCAGAAGTCGACGGTCCAGAAGTCGACGGTCCAGAAGTCGACGGTCCAGAAGTCGACGGTCCAGGGCTCTGTGGCCGACGCTCCTGCCAGTCCTGTGGCCGACGCCCCTGCCAGTCCTGTGGCCGACGCCCCTGCCAGTCCTGTGGCCGACGCCAGTCCTGTGGCCGACGCCTCTTCCTCGTGTTCTGAAGTCGACGCCTCTTCCTCGTGTTCTGAAGTCGACGCCTCTTCCTCGTGTTC